CCGACACTCCTTTCCAAATTCGGGCCCAACATTTGGTGCGTTGGCTGGGAAAGGAAAATTCGGAGCGAGACACGTGACTTATGACATAGGGAGAGTCTGGGAATTGGAGCCGGCAGGACCAAATTACATCCTTTGCGTAAGGATATTGGTCCATTGAAATAGATCGGAAACTGGCGGACGCACCGGAGGAGCTGGGGAAGGAGCCCTTCCCCCAGCTATTGGGAAAGCTGTGGGCACCATTTGGTAAGAGCGGTTCCCCTTCAAGGGGAACCAGACGCGTCAGTGACTGGTTTTCGGCTGATATTTGTTTGTCCTCTGTGTATCGGATATTTATTTTGTCAATAATAGTGTCTGTAATTGTGTGGCCACTTGTCTTCTACTTGTTCTGTGTTTTCTTAAAAGCAGTTGAAATGGGACAAGGCCAGACTACTCCTCTGTCCCTGATGGTTGAGCATTTCTCAGAGTTTAAAACTAGAGGATCCAACTTATCTGTGATAGTGAAGAAAAATAATAACTTTCTGTTCCTCAGAATGGCCCACCTTTAATGTAGGATGGCCACGAGAAGGCACATTGGACAAGAACATCGTGGCAGCTGTGCTCAACAGAGTCCAGGTTCCAGGCCCCCACGGGCACCAGGACCAATTTCCCTACATTTTAGTATGGCAAGATATGGTAGATAACCCTCCCCCATGGCTAAAACCTTTTCTCCCAAATCTCTCTGTCAAGGTACTAGCATCCTCACTCAGAACAAAGAAGAAAGAGAAACAGGAGGCAGGGTGACCAGAATTCTGTGCAGCTCTCCCACCAGTTTTATCTGATTCCCAAACTCACCCTGATCTCATTGATCTGAGAGTTGACATACCCCCACCTCCCTATGCCCCTACACCCCCTTCTCACCCTCTCCAGGTTTCTCAAATCTCAGGAGGAAGTGGAGCCAGTGGTCTGATTGCACCTGCCATTACCGGTCCAGCCTCCGGCCTCCACCCACGTCAGAGAGGCACCCCGGAGACTGAGGCCCCCACATCTACTGTCCAGGCACTACCCCTCAGGGCCACAGGCCCACCTCGGGAGGATGGAAGCAGAACTTGGCAGTACTGGCCGTTTTCAACATCAGACTTATATAACTGGAAAGCACAAAATGCCCCTTTTTCTGAAAATCCCCAAGGTTTAATTAACTTGTTAGATTCAATACTATTTACCCATAATCCCACTTGGGATGATTGTCAACAGTTATTACAGGCTCTGTTCACCACTGAAGAGAAGGAGAGGATACTGAATCAAGCCAGAAAAAATGTACTGGGAGATAATGGACAACCCACAACGCTTCAGAACCTCATTGATGCTGGGTTTTCTCTAACTTGTCCCGAATGGGATTTTGAGTAACAGAAGGTAGGGAGCATCTCCGAAAGTACTGCCAGATTCTAATGGCTGGTCTCTGAGCAGTGGCAAGAAAGCCGACCAATTTGGCCAAGGTAAACTCAGTTAGACAGGAACCCACAGAAAGCACTGCAGCGTATTTAGAAAGACTTATGGAAGCATTTAGACTGTACACCCCTATGGATCCACAGGCTGACGAGAGTAGAGCAGCAGTAGTCCTATCCTTTGTAAATCAAGCAGCCCCTGACATTAGGAGAAAACTTCAGAAGATAGAAAGACTAGGAGAACAGACATTACAAGACTTAATGAAAGTAGCCGAAAGGGTGTATAATACTAGAGAGACTCCAGAGGAAAAGGAAGAAAGAATAAGGAAAGAGGAACGGGACTTCTAAGCTAAAGAGAATAGGTGAAATCAAAAAGAACTAGCTAAAATTTTCTTTACCGGAGTTAGAGGGGAAGTAGGAAGACGTAGGGAGAGAGGACTAGAGCAGCACGACAGGCCCCACCGAGGCCCTCCCCTAGCCCTGGACCAGTGTGCCTTCTGCAGAGAAGCCAGGCATTGGAAAAGTGAATGTCCCAAGAATCCGAGAAGAGGGGAAGCTCGAAAGTACCATAAACCTGCCCCTACCAGAGCATTAGTAAATACAGGAGACAGCGACTAGGGGGGTCAGGACTCAGAACCCCTCCCCGAGTCTTGGATAACGTTAAAAGTGGAGGGGAAACCAATAGAGTTTCTAGTGGACACCGGAGCTCAATATTCTGTCCTTAATAAGAAAGAGGGAGAAGTCTCTCCAAAGACTAGCTTGGTCCAGGGGGCAACAGGAGCAAAGCAGTATCATTGGACAACAAAACGGCAAGTGAACCTGGGCACCAAACAGGTGTCCCATTCATTCTTAATTGTACCCAATGGCCCTGCACCGCTATTGGGAAGAGACTTATTATTCAAAGCCCAAGCCCATATATTCTTTCACAAAGACAGTGTCCAGGTTACCGATGGAGAAGGCTCCCCGTTGCAGGTTCTAACAGTTTCCTTGCACGATGAGTACCGCTTGTACAAAGAGGCAGAGAGCCAGCATGCAGACCCAACGGATATAACTCCATGGCTAAAAGAATTTCCCCAAGCCTGGGCAGAAACCGGAGGAATTGGATTGGTGAAACACCGACCACCCATCATTGTGAACTTAAAATCTTCTGCCACACCGGTGAGAGTCCGACAGTACCCTGTGCCTAGAGAAGCCCGAGACGGCATACAACCCCAAAACCAGCGACTACTACAGGTAGGAGTGCTGAGAAAGTGCCGGTCTGCATGGAATACACTTCTCTTACTGGTAAGAAAGCCGGGGGGAGAATACTGACCGGTACAAGACTTAAGAGAAGTGAATTGCCGTGTTGAGGACATACACCCCACAGTCCCTAACCCTTATACACTTCTCAGTAATTTGCCTCCAAACCATGTGTGGTATACCACCCTAGACTTAAAAGATGCTTTTTTCAGCTTACCTCTAGTCCCACAGAGTCAAGATATCTTCGCCTTCGAGTGGTTTGATGAAACTAACCAAGCCCTCGGCCAGCTGACTTGGACTCAACTCGTCCAGGGATTCAAGCACTCGCCCACTTTCTTCAATGAAGCCTTGAGTGACGACCTATGTGAGTACTTGGGTCAAAACCCATACGTGACTTTATTACAGTATGTGGATGATTTGTTAATAGCCACTACTGATCGAGCAGGGTGCCTTGAAGCCACAAAAAGACTACTCACCACTCTAGGATCACTGGGGTATTGAGCCAGCGCTAAAAAGGCTCAAATAGCAAGGCAAGAGGTCACATATTTAGGGTATAAGTTAAGAGCTGGACAGAGATGGCTTACTGACGCCATGAAACAGACTATCTTGCAAATTCCCAGACCAACAAATCCACAGCAAGTAAGAGAATTTTTAGAAACTGTCGGATACTGCCGTTTATGGATTCTAGATTTTGCTACGAAAGCGAAACCACTTTATGAACTCAGTAGAGAAGGATCAGAGTGGGACTGGACCCCAGAGAGAGATTCAGCTTTTAAAGAACTCAGAGAAGCACTCCTAAAAGCCCCAGCTCTAACTTTACCCGATCCTTCCAAGCCTTTTCATCTGTTTATTGATGAAAAGAAGGGAATAGCTAAAGGAGGTCTAGTACAGCAGCAGGGGCCATGGAAAAAACCGGTAGCATACTTTTCCAAGAAACTGGACTCAGTAGCTGCAGGATGGCCCCCTTGTTTGAGAATAATTGCTGCCATGGCCCAGTTGGTCAAAGATTCAGATAAATTGACCCATGGACAAACACTGAAAATAACCACCCCACATGCTATAGATGGGGTCCTCAAACAACCCCCAGGGAAGTGGTTTACTAACGCCAGATTGACTCACTACCAGAGCCTACTGCTAGACACTCCGAGGGTACAATTCCTGGCCCCAGCGATACTGAACCCCGCCACTCTTTTACCCACCCCGGACCTAGATGAGCCCATACACAATTGCTCAGAAATATTAGCAGAAGTCATCACTGTCAGAAAGGATCTGCAAGATTACCCATTAGCTAATGCAGACTTTGTTTGGTTCACGGACAGGAGTAGCTTTGTGCAAAAAGGAACTCGGTATGCAGGCGCTGCGGTGGTAGATGCCAAAGGCAGAATAATATGGGCTAGCGCTTTGCCTCCAGGGACCTCTGCCCAAAGAGCTAAATTAATTGCCCTTACAGAAGCACTAGAAAGGGCGGAGGGAAAGAAATTAATGGTGTATACTGATAGCCGGTACGCATATGCCACTCTTCATATACATGGAGCTATCTACCAGGAACGAGGATTTAAAACCTCAGAAGGGAAAGAAATAAAGAACCAGATTGAAATCCTCCGCTTACTATCAGCTGTGACAAAACCCTGGAAAGTAGCTGTAGTACATACTCCAGGACATCAAAAAGGACACACCCTTGAAGCAGAGGGCAACCGGGTGGCTGATCAGACAGCAAAAAGGCCTGCTATAGGGTCCGTAGCAGCTATTGTACAGAATTTCATACTCGAACTACCCTGTCCCCAACTGGAGCCCCTTCCTCCCACCCCAGATTATTCTAAGCAGGACATACAATGGGCTGAAAAGTCTTTACAGGTAAAGAAAAACCAGGATGGATGGTACATGGACTCAGAAGGAAAACTGATTCTCCCAGAAGAACTGGGAAGACATCTCCTCACACATCTTCACCGAGTGACTCATCTTGGAGAATGAAAAATGTTGGCATTACTGAATAAAGGACAAGTTCGCATACACCATCAAAGACAAAGGACTCAGGGTGTAGTGGACCAGTGTTGGGCCTGTCAACTCATGAGAGCAGGGAAAAGGAAAAATACCCACACAGGTACAAGGGTACGGGGGAGGGAACCGGGCCATCATTGGGAAGTAGACTTCACAGAAGTTAAACCAGGTAAATATGGATATAAATATCTTTTAGTGTTAGTAGATACTTTCTCAGGGTGGGTAGAGGCATATCCCACTAGGAGAGAAACAACAGCAGTAGTAGCCAAGAAGATTTTAGAAGAAATAGTGCCTAGATATGGAGTGCCTAGAACATTAGGATCAGATAATGGACCAGCTTTTGTAAGCAAAGTTATTCAGGGACTAGCCTCGACTCTAGGGTTGAATTGGAAATTACATTGTGAATATAACCCTCAGAGTTCGGGACAGGTAGAGAGAATGAATAGAACATTAAAGGAGACTCTGTCTAAATTGGCAATAGAAACTGGCGGAGACTGGGTGACCCTCCTTCCTTTTGCGCTCTACCGAGCGAGGAACACCCCTTACACATTAAACCTAACCCCATTTGAAATAATGTATGGATCACCACCCCCAATCATATCCAAGCTAGAAAATTGTACTTAGAAACTCCCGGCAGATCTAATTTTGGGGATGAAAACACTCCATATAATTCAAAAGGAGTTATGGCCCAAACTCCGAGCTGTTTATGAGAGTCCTCTTAATGAGCAAGGAATTAACCATGGAATTGAACCAGGGGATTCGGTGTGGGTAAAAAGACACCAAAAACAAACTCTAGGACCTAAATGGAAAGGACCTTACATTGTTGTTCTTGTAACTCCTACTGTCCTTAAGGTAGATGGAATCAGTGCCTGGATACATCATTTCCACGTCAGGAAAACTGACCAACCGGAGCAGCACTCAGCGCAAGTAAACTGGAAAGCATCTACAAATCCTGAGAACCCACTGAAAATCAAGTTAACTCCATACAATGGAAACTAAAACTTTCATCCTCACTCTAAACATCTGCCACCTGGTGATCAGCGTGAGTAACCATCAACCCTTTAAAGTCATGTGGCGAGTTCGCAATGGAGAAACCCACGAAACTTTGAACTCTACTACACTCATCACTCCCCTTAACGTGTGGTGGCCTAACTTGTTCTTTAGCCCTAAAACCTTAACAGACACAGATTTGAGTGCAAAGCACATCTGTAACGTTGGTTTCTTCACTTGTCCAGGATATAAACGAAACGTCCGACAATGCGGGGAGCTCTCATGGTATTATTGTAAAAACTGGAATTGTGTAACCTCTAATGATAGAAATTGGAAGTGACAGGTAAGCAACTCAGACTTTGTAGTATTCTCCTTTGCAAGGCCTAACCCATTATCTTAGAATCAGTGTAACAATACATGTGACTTAGTAAAAGTTTCATTCACTGAGCAAGGGAGAAGGGAACTAACCAAGTGGAGATCTGGGCTGACCTGGGGTCTCCAAATTTGGGAACCCCATTGGAGATATCCCTCTGGGTTAGTTACCATCTTACAAGAAGTAGAAGCCTTAAATGTTTCATCAATAGGTCCAAATAAGGTACTGAACCCCCCGAGAAAAGGAAATCTAACTAATAAACAAATATTAGCAAATACTACCACCCCAGATGTCACAGGTAACCCCCCATATGTGACATCTAGTACCCAGGAAAAGTCCCGGAGTTAAGATCCCCTTTGGAATATATTACTAGCCGCCTTTCAAACGCTTAACCGTACTAACTCTAACCTTACTCAAGCTTGTTGGCTATGTTATGATGTAAACCCTCCATTTTATGAAGCAATAGGCAGCAATACCTCTTTCAGTTATTCTCTTGGCCAAAACCCTCGGAATTGTTCCTGGAGGGACCATAAAATAGGACTTACCATGCAATGAGTAACAGGAAAGGGTATATGTGTAGGAAAATCCCATCACCCCCACGAACGTTGCATTTCACATCTAACAGTGAACTCGTCCTGTAGTTGGATTATTCCCAATGAAGGGAACTGGTGGCTGTGCTCAAGAACTGGGCTCTTGCCCTGTTTAAACTTGAAGCTACTCAGTCAGTCGTCAGAATATTGTGTACTAGTGACTGTGCTGCCCCGAATCCTATACCACCAAGAAGAGGAAATGTATTTCACTGGAGCGGGAACAAAAGAGTAAAAAGAGAACCACTAACTGCAGCTTTTACTCTAGCCACTCTATTTAGCCTAGCGGGGACAGGGGTAGGAATAGGTTCCTTAACCTTACAGAATCAAGGCATGAATTCTCTAAGAGCAGCCATAGATGAAGACCTTGAAAGAATAGAAACTTCCATCTCCCATATAGAGAAATCCCTAACCTCTTTATCAGAAGTAGTGTTACAAAATCGACGAGGGTTAGATCTCTTGTTCCTCCAGCAGGGGGGGCTATGTACTGCTTTAGGAGAAGAATGTTGTTTCTATACTGACCATACAGGAGTAGTTCGAGAATCAATGACCAAAGTAAGAGAAGGACTTGCCTTGAGAAAGAAAGAACGTGAAGCCCAAGAAGGAATGTTTGAGTCCTGGTTTAGAAATTCCTCATGGTTAACTACTTTAATTTCTACTCTCTTAGGTCCATTTATTATCCTTATACTTATACTTACATTTCGGCCCTGCATAATAAATAAACTTATATCATTTATAAAAGAGTTAATACTGTACAACTTATGGTCCTGAGACAACAATATCAGTCTGTATCTCCTGTAAGCTATGATGACTATTCCTCATAGGAATCACAAGAAAAAGGGAGGAATGTAAGGGGAACAGAGTTAGAAACACAGTAATCTTAGTTTGTTACTTAAATAACCAGTTTATCACTTAGAGAATATAACAAGCTTAATAGAAAACCTTAGGTACTGAAACTTATTTTACTGGTCACTTAGGAATTTTGGAAATACATATGTAAGCTAAGTAGCAATTATATTTACTCAAATAACTTTGTGACTAGCTCTAATTTCTAGCTTAACTTGTTTTTGTACTATTAATTTAGGTAAGTCTCAAGATATTACCAGGCCTAAGTTTCATTTTTCTTACTTAAGTTTCGGTTTACTAGAATAGACTTAGTTATAAGAAATCACTGATATGCAAACACCAATCAGAGAAGCCAGAATCTGGAAAGTCCCGAGGGGGGACCCCTTCCTCAACAGGAAACTGGAAAGTCCCGAGCTTGCACCTATCAGTCGCCACCAAATAGCAGAACCTGTCCCCTGCACCAATCATTGATGTTCAGCCCCACCTTGTATAACTGCCCCTTAAAATTCCTATAAATATGTAGAACGAAGGGGGTGCGGGGTCTTTTTGCCCAAGCTGTTGCATCGGTGTAAGCAGAGACCCCAACTCGAGTTTGGAAATAAACCTCTCCTTTTCTTTTGCATTGTCGAGTCAGTGACACGTTCCTCGCGCCGACACTCCTTTCCAAATTTGGGTCCAATAAGATTATTACAAATAATTTCTCTGCATAAATGAAATATACAATTAAAAGTGTGTAAGTCTGCCTTCAGCCAATACTTAATCAGATATAATAAAAGGGGAAATAGAATTTGCCTGGAAGAAATGCAAACTTTTGTTTTAAACCCTGTAGAACCCATATAGAAACTTAAGTAGAAAACCCGAGCCCCACCCAGTACTGCTGAGGGAATCTTTACATGGGAAGAGAAGACCTGAAGAAGAAAAAAAAAAAAAATGACTGTTTAACTTTTTGCATTTCAAGCAAGCAGATAAGCTTTAGATCCATCAAAGCAGAAAAGTCATGGTCCATGAGAAAAACCCCTCCCAGGACTGAAAGTTAAAGGAAGCCAATGAATAGTAAACTTGTATGTTACTTGCTTGTAACCACCTAGATCCACCTGAGTGGAAATGGGGGAAGTGCAGCAAAGAAAAAACTAGCTGAATTTAGTACTCTTTGACCTAAGATCAGGATGCTGAAGAAGCAGTCTGCAGGGATTGTGCTGTGGGGCACTATCCTCTTTGTAGCCTGGAATGCCCTGCTCCTTCTCTTCTTCAGGACATGCCCAGCACCTGGCAGGCCTCCCTCAAGCAGTTCTCTTGATGACGACCCCGCCAGCCTCACCCGTGAGGTGATCCTCCTAGCCCAGGATGCTGAAGTGGAGTTGGAACGTCAGTGGGGATTGATGTAGCAGGTTAGGGAGCATCATGCTCAGTGGAAGCAGTGGTTGAGAGTGCCCACTGCGGGCCCCCCTGCCCCACCGCATGTGCCTGTACCCCATCATTGTCAACCAGGACTGTGGGCATGAGGAAACAGCCCAGGTCATTGCCTCCTATAGCAGTGCCATCACGCACATCCAGCAACCTGACCTGAGCAACGTTGCTGTGCCGCCCGACCACCATAAATTCCAGAGCTATTATAAAATTACGCAGCATTACCGCTGGACTCTGGGCCAAATCTTCCACAGGTTCAAATTCTCAGCAGCAGTGGTCGTCGAAGATAACCTGGAGGTAGCACCAGATTTCTTTGAGTACTTTCAAGCCACCTACCCAATGCTGAGAACTAACCCCTCACTCTGGTATGTATCTACCTAGAATAACAATAACAAAGAACAGATGGTGGACTCTAACAAACCTGAACTTCTCTACCGCACGGACTTTTTCCCTGGCCTGAGCTAGCTACTCTTAGCTAAGCTCTGAGCTGAATTAGAGCCAAGTAGCCCAAGGCCTTCGGGGATGATTGGATACGCAAGCCAGAGCAATGACAGGGACGAGCCTGTGTGCAGCCTGAAATCTCGAGAATAATAACCTTTAGCCGCAAGGGTGTCAGCCATGAGCAGTTCTTTGACCAACACCTCAAGTTCATCAAGTTAAACCAGCACTTTGTGCACTTCATCCAGCTGGACCTGCCCTACCTATGCGGGGAAAGCCCAGGAGCTGGAGATAAAAGGAAGGGCTAGCTGGTCTGAAGTGCAATGAATTGTGAGCCTACGAGCATTGAAATAGTCCCTGAGGACTGAAGATGTGACAGAAGGTGCTAGCTGGTCTGAAGTGAAGGGAAGAATGTAACTCTCAAACTTAGCAGCTAGTACCCATGACCTAGCTGGGATAGCTAGAGCTGAGCTGACTGGAACCCGACCAAATGGAGAAGAAGATGACTGACACAGATGGTGTTAAGTTGCTGCAATTTAATAACTTGTGCTGAGCTGGACTTTGCTTGTTTATGGATCCACATGCCTGAAGTTTCCAAGCAGAACAGAAGATTCTCCAGAGAGAAAGGATCACGCTTCCTCAGAGTACTGGTCTGATAGGGATGGGCAAATTAGAAATTAGCTATTTAAAATGGGGGGAGATAAAAGCATGAAGTAGCTGACTTACACATTTCCATAGGTATGATCATTCTTAAACTGATGGTGAAAGGGATGTAAATTTTTGAAGTAATAGCTAGAAAAATCAGGGAGTAGCCTGCAGTGTAGTAAATTACTTAGTGTAACTTTGCCACCCATAAGTCTTTATAAACTCCGAAGTGAAATTTTCTGTAAGCAACTGAGGAACTCCTGATTGCTAAAATTGTCCGCGTGGAGAAAATTTCTGTTAGGAGTAGCGCAAAACAATGTTCTGAGAAGTGCCTACTCTCTCAGGTGCTTAGAGTTCTGATACTGTAATTAACTAGTTTTACTAACAGTTAGTCCTTGTGTTTTAAACAGATTAGTCAACTTTGTGAAAGATCGAGTTAATACTGTACAACTCATGGTCTTGAAGCAACAGTATCAGTCTTTATCTCCTGTAATACAAGAGAATGATTCCTCATATGCATAATAAAAAAAAAAGGGGGAAATGTGAGGCCTGAGTCCTAATGGCCTCCAGGTATATCTTTAACCAGAAGTCTTTTAGTGTCGGGGATTCTAACACTCCCCATGCCTCAGGGCTTTTATCTACCCTCCGGATTCAGCACTTATCAGAGATTTGCCTGGCTCCTGGAGTCTCCCACGTATCAAGGCTCTGCATCC